AATAAAAATGCAAATGTTGTTAGGGCGACAGTGGCGTTGGATGTAGGAGTTTGCCCTGAAATCGAAGGATTGACTGTTCAAGCCCCGACTCCGACTTTCAGTGTCGTTGTGTCCTTGGGCAAGACACTTCACCTGCATTGTCTACTGATGGTGGTCAGAGGGCCCGGTGGCGCCAGTGTACGGCAGCCCTGCTTCTGTCAGTGAGCCCCAGGGCAGCTGTGGCTACAATGTAGCTTGCCACCATCAGTGTGTGAGTGAATGGGTGAATGAATGCAGTGGAAAGCGCTTTGGTCAAGTCTCGTAACTTGAATAAAGGCGCTATATAAGTACATGCCATTTACCATCTTGTTTATTTCTACAATATTCGGCCTAAATCGTCCAGGTGCTGCCCTCTATGGGTGCAAGCGTGGCTACTGCAGGTGCATTCTTATGTTACACCATTAATCCACGTTTGGGATTAATGATGCGTTTAATAGTACCTTGGAACAGGCGTCTCAGAGTGACATAAACTCTGAGGTGATGGCGTTCCAGATTCCCACTTGTGAACGCTCTTTTTCACCATAGTTTGTACAGAATGTGACCACTACAACTATTGTTAGAAGTGAGCACTCTGAAAGGCACCATCTTAAACAAACTCTCCCCATAGAGTCTGGGGTTGGAAGCAAGTAATGACCGATAGCCCTTTTCAGGCAGCCACCTTATTTATTCATTTTTAAAATTTATTTTAAAGTGTTTTTAAAAGTTCTGAAAGGGCTAAAGATGGAGAAAAAGTTTGGGGAGCTTCCCTCCTTACAGCTTAAGTAAAAAAACCAGTCAAACGTATATTACATTATCGCACCAGTATATTTATATGAATGCCAACAACAAAAAACATTATAAAAACATAATTTCATGTACAGGTTTACTTTTTGCACATAAATCTTGCCCTTCTGAGGTTTTCTGAAGGTAAATCTGTGTTTTGAATTGTCCAAAATTGTGTCACTAACCTAAAAAAATAATGTACCAGTTTAACAATGGAGAAGCTATTAGTCAGCTTTACATTTTCTAATATATAAAAACTATTTATTTTCTAAGAATGTGTTTATTTAAGAGCAACTATGCAAATTAACAAACATCTAGATAAATTTCACTATATTATATTATTTTCCATGTGAATCCCAGATAGTTCATTCTTCTTAGCTTTTTCTAAAAAGTGCTTTAAATCAGTCAATAAAAACAGTTTTTGTTTTATTTCTTAATCCTGGTCATTGGGCTGGTGGGGCGGTGCCCTGGCTCCCTGTAAGGACTAACCGTCACTGCAACTGATGGAGGTTTTTTAACGCCGATGCCGATTTTTTTGACAGCCTAAACTATTCTTGACAAATGTTGCCACTTTTTTTTAGCCAATTCTTTAGGCAGAAATCATTTTTTCGTCTTGCATTTACCCGATAAAAGTGACACAATGATAACAAAGTCTAAATTTAAAGCATTTTTTAAACAAACGGTGGCAAGCAGAGGGAGGGGCAGTGCATGCATGTATGGGTCAATACCGATACAAGAAAAAAAAAATGCTAATAGCTGGAAAAACATCAGCTGGTGGATGAATCGGTTCATCTCCGGTCGTGAGGCTGCACATGTTAACCTTATACTGCATCAGCAATATGATGGAAACCTCTAGTGATTTTGAAACGTGACTTTTTCACACTGTAAAACCAATGAAACTCATGCCTAATTGTTACCCTGGTTCATAGAAGAACTGGCTGTTATTCAGGGATCCACTTCTTCCAAATAATGAACCTGAGCTGTTTTATTTGCCTCATATATAAACATCCTAATTAAACTGTGATATAGATAAATACAATCAGTTTCTTTGTTAAATATTATAACTGATGTTAAAATGCCTATCCTGCATGTTAGCTGTAGGCTGCCGCTGAGTTGGGAGCATTTTACCGAACATGTGGGGAACCTGAGGTGAACTCAAAGTGGACGACTGGCTGAGCTGTTTATTAAACCTCAGTTTGCATGATTGCATATGTAGATCAAATTAACTTTCAACAGCAACACAGACATGCTGTGTAAGAAAGGGCAGCAGCGCTTATACTGCCTAAGAAAGTTAGCCAGGTTTCAGGTTGACAAAACTCTAATGACCATGTTCTATAGATCTTTTATAGAGTCCATACTTACCTTCTCTGCCATCTGCTGGTTCTTAATGTAAAGAATAAAAATGCCATATCTAAGATTATTAAGGTGTGCAGTAAGATCATGGGTGTTCAACAGAAAAACATGACTGAAATGTATGAAGATCAGGTAATCAGGAAGGCTGAGTCCATTTTGGATAATTACACCCATCCCCCACACAACGAATTCCAGTTTCTACCCTCTGGTTCCCGTTTTAAACCAGTTCGGACCAACAGATACAAACACTCCTTTATTCCCTCTGCTCTTCAGCTGCTAAACTCTACCAGGAAAAGCAGATCGTGATTTGTGAAATGTGAACATGTGTGTGAAAGGTGTACTACTGGCCATACTGGGACAAATAAAAGCTACTGAACTAAACTGAACTGAACTGAAGATCAGTGTCATTACATCATATTGAAAAAAGTGATTTTAAGGACACTAAAGCACGCTGATATCTTTTCCTCAAACAGATTTTTCTTTTTTTTTTTTTTGCTAATAATACATTTTTCTTGATGTTGCCTCAGACCGACCTGCTTTGCTTGGAATTTGAATTGTTTGCTTTTATGTAAGACATCTTTTATTTCTCTTCTTCCCTACAGGTCTGCACGTCTTCCTCATCTTTTGAATTTTCATCTCATCCCTCTTGTTTCTGTTGGATTGACTGTTAAGAAGATCCAAATGGAGGCCAGAGGAAAATACGATTTTTCCGCCACTTCGGATGACGAGCTCAGCTTTAAAAAGGGCGACATTCTCAAGGTCAGTGCATGCGATGCTGACAGAATCTGTCTCTGTGCTTATTAATCTCTGTATAAAACCTCCCCTGTCTCTGTTTCTGTTCTGGTTAGATTATAAACCATGAGGATGATTGGTGTAAGGCTGAGATGAATGGACAGGAAGGATACATACCTAAGAACTACATCGATCTGCAGACTCCAGAGTAAGAGAACGATGCCTCTGCAGAATGAAACTGCCTATGTAAATGGAATAAAAGATGCAGCACAAAAACAGAGAGTTTTAGCGGAATTTCTAAATGAAATCATGTAGCTGTTATATATTACAATAAATAAGATGTGTTTTGAGCATGTGAGATAATAATGGGGAATCTCTGTTCAGTTGGTTTAAGGAGG